GCTTCTGGACACTGCAGGGTGGTGGAGGCTGGAGAGCACCCGTGGGGACCTTGTCTGTGTGACAGGGTATCGCTGTCCCCAGGTGGGAAGCTGGGATTGGTGCGTGTGGTAGGGCTGGAGTTGAGTAAAGCTCTCCATGTCATTCCCCATAGGCTCTCCGGTAAACTCAGGCTGTGTGGTCTGGGGGACGGGATGCTCTTGGAGGAGCGTGCAGACAAAGAGTTGTTGTTCCCAGGAAGGGAACGCGTCAGGTAGGTTGTTTCCACGCAGTCCAAAGCATGTGCGTAATAAGAATATGGAAACACAAGTGTTGGTTGTGCCGCTGTCAACACGCGGCAGATGTTCAGTAACAGAACATGCCACATGTTGAGTAGAGCAGGACAAAAGTGCTCCGGAGCCTGTTCAATTTGTCATGCTGCCCACTGATAAGTGTCGCTCCCAAGTCAACGCTTCCATCTGGTGAATGAGTCATCTCTGAGCAATCTCCATCCTAGTCGAAATAACCTTATGTCTTCTGATGAACATACATGAATTTTAAGTTACTCATTCTTTGCTCTCAAGTAAAAGACAAATTAGGAACTTTCCCTAAATGCAAACTTCCCTTTCTTGCTTCGTTTGAGTAATTACATGATCTCAAGTGAAGCTGAACGGCTTCCAGAAACTGTGGGGCTCCGGCCCAACAAGGGACAGGCCTCCCCATGCAGGTGTCCCTTCCCAAGGCTGTTTCCCTAACCATCCTCTACTGGTCGCTGCTAGACCACAGCTTCACAAGCAGCTGATCCGATGGTTCCTGAAGACTGAAGGGAGAAGACTGGCTCCCTGCTCTCCTACTCCACTGGAGATGTTTCCTAAGGAAACATCTTACCTGACCCTACCGGAATTGTTCTGAGACCTTGTTCAGATCCTCTGATGTTATGCCTTTCTGAAGAGCTTACTGTAGCTTTAGCCAAAAATATGTAATCCTGAAAAGTGAAATGTTGCAAGAAATATTTCCATATTGTTTTTTTTTTTTGAGAAAATCGAATGCAATTTTATGATGGATTTAAATGTGGAAAAAACTCTACTGCTATTCTCATTTTGGCTTTTATTTTTTAAAATCTCTCCCATCCTTCTTACCCTTTTCTTCTTTCTTTCCTCACAAACCCCCACTAATTTTAAATTACTGAAAGTTTTTGTTTGTTTGTTTCTTTGGACCCCCCTTCATCTTCTTACCCCATTTCCTCAGAATATGTAATGGAGTGAGTTTGCCAGAAATATTCCGATTTTCCAATTGAAAACAGATTTAAAAACCCTTGTAGTTACTTTACAGTTAAAAATACAGGGAACAATTCAGGTTGGTAAGTAAAAGTGCCCAGTGCCATTATAGACATCTCAGGTGGCTGGAGATCCCTACACACGGCTGGCAGGTGTGAGCCAAGAGTCTGGATGTGGGAGATACTTTCATTTTTCCTGCACGCCTTCCCCTTTTGCAGTGAAGAAAGCTGATGTCCTCGTTCAAATATAAGCAAGCTCATCCTGTAGCCTTGGTTAGCTAAGTCTCCTGGTAAGCAGAGTGCTTATCTGTCTTTTTCGGATTGCTATTATGGTCTCCTGGGAAGGCTGGAGGAGATCTTTCTTATTTCTGTTGACATTTCCACCCTCAACAGTGTATGAACAACTGTGAAGGACGGAGTTCTACACCAGATATATTTCCCCATGCACAACTCCTGCCACTTTGAAAACAGGAGCAATGTGTTAGCTGAACAGTGCTGATGGTTGAACAATACTGAGGAAGCTCCAGGTGGAGTCAGAACGTCGTTTTCAGCTGAGCTGCAAAAAGCTTTTTTTTTGTTGTTGGTTTTTTTTTTTTTTTTTTTTTTCTTTTCTGGGGGAGGGGAAATTTTTTCTCGTCTACACTACAGATATCCAACCAGCCAATTGGTTTTGTCTCATTTTAACTCTCCTTCTTTAGTAGTCATTTATTTTTTATTAAATCACTAGGAGGGCTTGACAAATTCAGCTTAGAGTGCAGCACTCCATATGCTGGGTCACCTCTTTTGCCCTTTTGAAATACCAAGACTTCAGGCTTTCAGTCAGAAGCACTGCCTGAGGTATGACATGTGTGAGCAGCCCTTCTGCCAGCGTTTGACTCTTCACTTCAGCATTTCCATGATTGCCTTCTGCTGCTGTCTCTGAATCCACATTTTTCTGGGAACCTCTCAGAGCTGCTGCTTGCAGCATTCCAATATATGCTTGGATTTCTAGTACCTGCTGTGAGCAAAAGTCCACCCTGGAAGCACAGTGCCGCCTTGCGTGGAGCGCGGGGTGTTTAAAGCCCCGTTTTTTCGCCCCTAAGCAGGCACTAGCAGGCTGTAACTAGCCCTTGCTGCCGTGCCGAGAGGGTGGATCATTCGGAGCTGCAGGTTAGGGCAGCTGGGCCGGCAGGGTGGCTCATGCAGGCCCGTGTGGTGCCTGTCCAGCTTACCTGCTTGTGTCTGTGCTGCTGCTTTCCAGAGGCAGAGCAGCCCGGGCAAGGACTGTGGGGCCTGATGGGGTGTTTTCTGAGAGGGAAAAATGTAGGAGGAGAAAACTTTTCAATCAGCAAAGTTGCTCGTGAGGGGAGGATCTGACAGAAATGTCAGGAACACTAGAAACTGGTTATTGCTGTGCTATGTTCTCCTGTTTTCAGAGAATCACAGAATGGTTGAGGTTGGAAGGGACTTCCAGAGATCATCTAGTCCAACCCCCCTGCTCAGCAGGGACACCTAGAGCACGTGGCACAGGGTGGCATCCAGGCGGCTTTTGAAGATCTCTAGGGAGGGAGACTCCACAACCTCTCGAGACAGCCTGTTTCAGGACTCTAGTGCTTTCCATTTCTTTATCATTATTATTTTTAGGGTGAAGGATTGTCATTCCTTTAGCTTGTGTTTTAATTCAGTGAACCTAAAGAAAGCCAAGCATATTGCCCCAGTGTGGATTCCCAGTTCTCCTAGGCATAGGAGATATATTGGATATCTGGCTGAAAGGTTCAGAATCTGTTTCATAAGTGGGGAAAAAATAAAATAGCCAATATCTTTTTATTTTTGAAAGAGGCAAAAAGTTGTAAATGTATTCTTCTTTAAATTACATTTACATTCATCTTTAAATTACATTTTAAAATAATCTCTCAAATATGGATGGAATTGCATTTTTCCTCTTGGGCGGTGTGATTGCAGTTAGTTATTCTACCAGTGGAGGGAAGTGTTTGCACAGAAAACGGAGGTGCCAACTCAGAGCTGCTCTGTTTGGTGGAGGCAGTTTCATTTGCGGTTCGACTGCTGGCGCTGGTGTGGCTCTGCTCATGGAAAGCTGGTGGCCCTCTGCCAGGGGAAAGTTTGTCACTTCATCTATAAATGAAACCATTGTTTGACACTGTCTAAAAAGTGCAGAATATGTCAGGACAATACCGGTTCATTTCAAATCACGGGAAGGGTGGCTTCATTATGTTGCAAATAGGCTTCACATGATTTGTTGTCATTTTGAACGAGTCACCTGCCTATACTATGAGACACCTTGAATATTATCCATTTAGGTTTAGGAAAGGTTTTCCTGGGTTTTACAGGACTTTTTCATTATTCCTCATCTCTTACTTTGATATTTGATATAAGCATACTCTAAACTGAATAAAGAGCTCTTCTGAGTAAATCGTTTGAGATTATTTGATTCCCCGACACACTGTATGAATGAAAAGCACACAAGAGCTCTCTGAATAGTGAAAAAAATCACCTTTTAAAATCTTACAAAGATAGTAAAAAGTCAGTCATGAGTGTCTAAAGGAGATAGTGCCAAAGCAAATGGAGTCTTTAAAAATACAAATATTCCTTAAGCCAAGACTGATGTTACAATACAACAGAGAGAAGGACTGCCAACCTGCTGAAAAGCAGTCCAGTATTATTGTTAGTGCGTACAGCATAGGAGATTTTTTTTTCCAGAGTAGATGCTGATAAGCAGGAAGAAAAATGTTACTGTTGTGATTTGTGACACTTTTCTCTTGACACAAGTCCTGATTTTTTTCTCTGCTGGGAACTGTCTTTGTCACTTTCCCACAGATCTGATGTGGAGGGGACCTACAGTGAGTTGTTAGTGCTCAGGCTGGGATATCCCCAATGAAATGTGAGTGCCCCAACAGAGACTGCTCTTCCCATAGCAAAGTCAGCAGCATCACAGTTCTGCTTGCCTCTCTGAGTGCAAGGTCTTGACAACTTGCTTTAAAG